CCCCCCCCCCCCCACCCCCAACAGACACAGAGATCCCCTGTGCTGCCCTCCCTGCCAGACAGACCGATCCCACTCCCCCCAGACTGACAGACTCCCCTCCCCCTCCCGTCCTTCGGACGGACGGACAGACGGACAGATCTCTCCTTGCCCTCGCCGCTGGACAGACAGATAGACAGACAGACAGACAGACAGAGCCCCAGCCCCGCACAGATAAACCGGCCCACTCCGCCCCCCGGGCACACGGACAGAGCCCCCTGATTCCCACCCCCGCCACCGCGGACAGACCGACAGACACCCCCGTCCCGGCCACCGTCCGGCCGCACTTCCGCCACGCCCCGTACACGTCATCAATACAGCCCCGCCCCTTCCCCAGAGGCTCCGCCCCCCAGGCGCTCTTAAAGGCGCCGCGCGGTGTCACGGAACAGGCGGGACGGGAGCGGCGCTCGGTGGGCACCGGGCTTTATTGAGAAACCGGGGAAACAACGGACTCGGGCTGGGGAAACTCGGGATCCCGGACGGGAACGGCCCGGGCTGGCCGGTACCGTTAACAGGGCCATGGTGCCGGTACCGGCGTCTGTGTGGGGGACTTCAGTGCCAGAACGGAGGATGCCGGTACCAGTACCGGGAGCATGGTGCCGGTACCGGCATCTGTAGTGCCGGTATGGGGGACGTCGGTGCCAGAACGGGGGTTGCCGGTATCAGTAGTGGGGCTGTAGTGCCGGTACTGGAGCCGCTGGTGCCGGTACTGCTCCCAGGATCGGGGCTGTAGTGCCGGTACCGGAGGCCCCGATGCCCCTCTTATTTCGCCTTCTGCATTAACTCTGCCATGTTCAGGGATGCTTTGATGCCTGCGGAGACACGGATGGCGTCAGTGCCCGTCCCCGGTGTCCCGGGGCACTGCCCGGCCCCGGGGACAGCCAGCCCTGCCCTCCCCGCACCCGGGGGGCTCGGGAGGGGAGCCCCAGGTCGGCAGCAGCGCTCAGGGGCACAGGGATGGACACACGGACACACGGACACACGGACACAGGGACAGACGGACACAGGGACAGACGGACACACGGACAGACGTACACGGACACACGGACAGACGGACAGACAGACACACGGACACACACGGACACAGGGACAGACGGACACACACGGACACACGGACACACACGGACACAGGGACAGACGGACAGACGGACAGGCGGACACATGGACAGACGGACAGACGGACAGACAGACACACGGACACAGGGACACATGGACAGACGGACACACACGGACACAGGGACACACGGACACGGACACAGGGACACACGGACACGGACACAGGGACACACGGACACGGACACAGGGACACACGGACACGGACACAGGGACACACGGACACGGACACAGGGACACACGGACACGGACACAGGGACACACGGACACGGACACAGGGACACACGGACACGGACACAGGGACACACGGACACGGACACAGGGACACACGGACACGGACACAGGGACACACGGACACGGACACAGGGACACACGGACACGGACACAGGGACACACGGACACGGACACAGGGACACACGGACACGGACACAGGGACACACGGACACGGACACAGGGACACACGGACACGGACACAGGGACACACGGACACGGACACAGGGACACACGGACACGGACACAGGGACACACGGACACACAGACACACGGACACCATGGACACACGGACACCATGGACACATGGACACGGACAGACGGACAGACAGACATGGACACACAGACACACGGACACCATGGACACACGGACACAGGGACACACGGACAGACGGACACACGGGCGGGGTTTGGCTACGGAGAAGCGGGAGGGAAGCGCCTGCTCTAGCCAGGGCACGGGAGAAGGGGCCGGTTGTGCGGGAGCCGCGCCGGTGCCTGCGGGAGCAGAGCGGTTTGGGCGCTGCCACGGCGGACACGGAACCGGCACGGGCCCGGTCCCGGGGCTCGGTACATACGGGCAGGCTGGGCTGCGGGGCCACCCCGGCCGCCAGCCGGGCTCTGCTCTTGGCCAGAGTCTGCAGGACTGCACCGTGCAGCGCAGAGAGGAGAGAGAGGTTAGAGAAGGGAGCTCCTGTCACGGGGCTGCGGCAGCACGGCCCGCGGGAACCGGGAAATTACCGCTAAACCCAACCGCCCGTGCCCCTGCGCTGGGAAAACCTGGGCACGGAGCAGGATGGAGGGACAGGAGGACACGAGTTACCTTCTCGGGTGACGGTGGAGGCCGCGTCCAGGGCCTTGGTGCCGATGTCACCCATCATGTTGTCCACGGCGTGGTGGTGCTTGAGGAAGAAGGGCCGGATGATGCTGTGGTAAATGAGCTGGGAGCCGTTCCAGGGCACTGGGGCCATGCACCACACCAGGAACAGGCACTGCGGGGACACGAAGGGCTCAGCTGCTCCGGTGGCCCCAGACGGGTCCAACTGGGAGCTTACTGGAACTTACTGGGAGGCTCCCAGGATCTGAGCTGGGGGAAAACCCCACTCATACATTAATTTTTAGCTTTTATATTTTCCACATTCTTTAGTGCCTTGGTGTAGAGCTGTGAACTTCATATAAAGTGTGAGCAAGTTCTCTTCACAGGAGAACCAAGGACATCATTGCAGCTTCAGGCCCCCAAAAACTAATAAATTAAATAAATCAAAAAATTTAAAAAATTCAACAGCGAATCGAGGAGAGCAATCTGTGAGGACGGAACTTCATAACTTCGAAGCTGTAATTAGACAATTAACCCCAATTTGGAAATGGACCAAAAATATATAAAAATAAATCTATATAAATAATATATATAAAATAAATATATATAAAAGTGTGAAAACTCGTGTCCGTCTTGGGTGGAGCCACGGCCAGGCTCTCGTACTGCCCGAGGTGCATCCTTTAAAGGCCTTTTTAATAAATCCCTGCTTTATTCCTTTAACACTGTCCAGCCTGCTCCAGGCAGCCTCAGCTCCTCCCTGCTCGGCCGCAGGAGCCCCGAGCAGCCGTTACCTTCCCGGCGTAGTAGAAGGGGAACCAGTAGAGGAAAATGTCAGAGAAGAACTCGGCGACGCTGAAGATGCCGTAGACCACCCAGTACGTGAGCCACGTGGTGTCATCCTCCTTGCTGCTGCTCTCGATGGCTTTGACACTGCGGAAGGACGGGGAGGAAGGAAAGGAAGGAAAGGAAAAAGGAAGAAAGGAAAGAAAAAGGAAAAAGGAAAAGGGAAAAAGAAAAAAAAGAAAAAAGGGAAAAAAAAAGAAAAAGGAAGGAAAAAGGAAAAAGAAAACAAAGGGAGGGAGGAAGGGAAGGGAGGGAGGAAAGGAAGGGAAGGAAGGAAGGAAGGAAGGAAGTGGCGGAAGGAAGGAAGGAAGGAAGTGGCGGAAGGAAGGAAG